AATAGTAAGACTGGGTCTTTATCTCCCTGCCTCTAAGGAGCTTAAAATCTGGAGGTTGTGAAGACTGGGAATGAACAAATGACATTATAATATAAAACTCGCTGCAGTGAGTATTATTCTGGAGAGTACTAAGGGCAAAGGTCATGGGCATGAAGTGGAAGCCCACCCTAAAATGGGAATAAAGGAAGGCATTTTTGACAAGTAGACCAGTTAAAGTGAGAGTGAGTAACTACCGCACTCACGTTTTATGACTAACAGTTTAAGATTTGACCAAATGTAGTTATTTTTGCTTAAAAGAAAGCAAGCTCTAAAGAAATAGATTTTGCTCAATCTCTTTCCATTTGGAAGCTTAGAATCAGTTACGACTCATACATAGGAGTTAAATTGGGATCAAAACATTGGCCTTATTGCTAGTGCAGAAGGATTGGGGAATGAGACTGGGATCTGAAGTCCAAATCAGACTTTCTGTTCCTGTCCCCTAGCCTTGGTACCCACATATAGGAAAAGTAGAGTTTGCACATCAGATGTTTACCAGGTTGTTGCATGGAACTCATGATCTGCTCCTATCCGTGAGCCCAGAGAGGCCACATGGGCACAGGAGTGAGTCTTCTCATCTGCATTAAGAAGCTGCTCTGGCCTCTTACTCAGCTGTGCCTCCCATGTGGATAAAAAGGTGGGAGAAAAGGCTATTCTATGTGTATAATTAGGCAAAAAGAGCACCTAGAAGGGGCTGAATCAGGCAATCTTGGTTTTATCTCAATTTTGGCACAATGACAAATCATCCCTTATCCTAAGGAGAGGACTGAGTGAGAGGTGGAAAAAAAGGGAAGATGCTTTCACCTGATACTTGTAAGAGGGCCCATGGCAAAAACACAGGAAGGGGAAGCAAGTGAGTCTACCAAGCAGATATCACATGCTCTGCACATCTTTAGATTTTTGACTATTTTTTTTAGCTAAGGCTTACTCATTGCTCAGTCTTCATTCATGTATTCATTTTTATTCTCTCATTTATCAAATAACTTAATTTCCAAAATACATAAGCCTTGCTAGAGGCACAGAGGACACAAAGATGAATAAGCCATAGTTCATGCTTCAAGCAGTTCACATACTATTGGATAAAGAATAGGCCCTGGTGTTATTTATTATAATGAGAAACGATCTTCAAGGCACAACAGGGCTCTTTGCTCAAGAATAATGCAGAAGAGATAGAGGGTGAGCACATTCTCCACACACTGAAGGTAGTTTAACTTAATGGGGGGGTGGCATAGATTATTTTTGGAATTTTGAGTCAGGTTATCTGAGATAAAATTCCAGTACCCCCTAGCTCTATGTAACAGACGTCTCTGTTTTTTTTCATTTTTGAAGGCAGAAAATAATCATTTTTCCATAGGATTGTGTGTACATCAAACATGGTAAAACATCCAAGGTACTTGGCAAAGGTCTTATATATCACATGTCCTCTACCAATGTGTCATTAAAAAGCAAAACCAAATAAAACTGAAAGAAGAAAGCTCATAGCAAGTTCTATTTACTGTCTTAGGATGATAATTGACCATTGCAAGCAGGCACTTGCCCTAAACACTTGCAGTCTCTCATATTGGTCATTCTTTAGTATTCTGTCTTTTTCCCTATAAGAATTCCTATGAAAAGGAAAATTGCAATGGGCTTGTATTTAGAGACAGTAATGCCAGTAAAAGCTGAGGCTGTAGCCCCCTATTCTGTAGATTTTTGAGGAAGGTTGACTTCCAGGGTTCTGGCCAAGGGTAAAAATTAAGCCCAGCAAAACACATCTGGAAGATGACAGTGGAGTCAGTCAGACTAAGTGAGTCCCAGTGTGAATGAGTGTATGGAAAATTTTGCATATGTATCAGTGAGTACATGGGCATGTGAGTGACTGACTGAGTAAGGACTCAGGAACAAGTGGCTAGGGTTCTCCTGGTGAAGCAGCTGGTGCCACAGCTGCTCTGCTTGGTCCCTTGTGCTTCTTGGGGTGCAGAAGCTGAGCACCATTTAAAAAAAAACCCCCAACAAAGTCCTTCCCAGTAAGAAGCTGCCACGAGAGAGTGCTGGTTCCAGGTTCTGCCTCACCACTGCATTACCTGGCCGACACGGGCAGCAAGGGCTATGGAGGGAGCAAAACAAGGGAGGTGAGAGGCAGAGCCCTACTGGAGGAGACAAAAGAGACACCTATCACTATCTTGAAAACTGGGAATGAAAGTGCTCACTCACCAGGAAAGGCTTGCTCACCACAGAGTGACAAAACCAGTCCAATCTCTGTGACCAGTGGATTAACTAATCAGGGGTTGATTGTGATCCAGAAGGAATATCCTGAAAGCACAAACTCTGGAGGGACAGGATGAGTGCTGAGTCTCAGGCACCCCACCCCCAACCCTGATTCAGCCGTGGGACAAAGGATGTGGCCAGAAAAGGATGAGGAAGGTCTCCAAAGAGATCAGTGATGACTCCAAGGCTGATACAACCCCTTCCTTTCCAACAATCCTCTGAACATCAGATTCACATGGCTGGGGTACAACTAAGAGGGAAAAACCCAGGTGGAGCCTGGAGGTCAGCAACAATAGGAGGACTCTACTCCAGGATAAGCCTGGCTGGAGCACCTCCTTCCCCCTTCGGTAACTGGGGAAGAGATAATCCCATGCCTCCCCACCAGAGGGAATCCACTTGATCATACTAGAATGGGAGAGGAGGACTGAAGCCCTTCCTTCACTGGGCTGGACACTGGAGAGATTGTAAATAAGACTGAAGCTCTGCAGAAGATAGCAGAGGAACAACTACAGAACCTGCCACAGGAGGTCAGGGTTTTTAAATTTTATTTTATTTTTAAAATATTTTTTCTTTGTGCATGAATATGTATGTGAGGATTTGATCTGCATCCCCAACCACTTTTTCTTCTTTTTTTCTCCTTTTTTTCTTCTTTCATTTTTTGTGTTCTATTTATGTGTGCCTATGAAGGATTGAGTGCTCATCTTTCAGTTTTCTGTATGTTTTTGCTTTTTTGTTCTTCTCTTCTTTTAGTTTAATGTGTATGTGAGTACACATGTGAGGGTTTTATCTGAATTCCTTTTTTTCTCTTCTTTTCTATATTTTTCTCTTTCTCTTCTCCTTTCATTTTGGGCTGGCCATGGATGTGTGTATTTGGTTTTCTTCATTTTTGTTGTTCCTGTTGTTTGTTTTGTTTTGCTTTGTTGCTATTCCAGTTAATTTTGGTGCACGTGTGTGTGTGTGTGTGTGTGTGTGTGTGTGTGTGTGTAATTGTATTTTAATTTGGTTTCTGCTCTTGTTGACCTGTGTTTATTTATTTATTTTTGTGCATCTTATTTCATTCTACTTTTCTCTGTTCTTCTCATTGATGTTATTGTATCTTGGATTCAGGGTATACACACACGTACCCACTGCATCATCATATAGAGTGGTGATGGGGATTGGGTCTCAGAGAACTCATGCCACAATCAGTGAACATTATGATTTGCAAGGAGTTTCTGAATCCTAGATCCCCATCCTCCACCTTATTCAACTCTCAGAACTATAAGAGACAGTAAAACTTCCCACTCATAGTCCTGTTTCAAAAGAGAATAAATTCAGAGACCTGATCAGGGAAGAATGGAGATCAGAGCAAACTTTAGAAGTGAAAGCCTCTCCCACTGCCACTGAATAATGGAACTAAAGAGAAAAGAAAGAGATCTGCCACAAATGAAAAAAAAAAAAAAAAACCATTGGGAGAACACCAGTAATTCCCAGTGTAACAAAAAGAAAACATCTGAAAAATCAGACCTCCTAGCTCAAACAATGGAAGTCACTAATGACTGGCACCAGAATGCAACAGGGATTAGGAAGTGGATAGAAATAGTGACTAAGACTCAAGAAAGAGAAGATGTAATGCTGAAGGAACTTGTAACAGAGATTTTGGCTATGAAAAATTCCATCCTGAAACTAAATAACAAGATGACAAATATGGGAAGCAGAATAAATCAAGCAGAAGAAAGAATCTCAGAACTTGAAGACAAAAACATGAAATTAATCTGATATGTAAAATACATAGAAAGAAAACTCAAAAAAGAAAGAACAAAGCCTCCAAGAGATGTGGGATTATATCAAGAGGCCAAACCTACACCTGATTGGTATCCCAGAAGAAGAAAAGGAAATGGAGAACACCTTGGAGCAAGTATTCCAGGTCATCCAAGAAAATTTTCCCAATCTCACCAGAGAGGCAACCACACAAACATAAGAGATACAGAGAACTCCCACAAGACATCAAATGAGAAGACTAACCCCTAGACACAGAGCAATTCATCTACATGAAGTAGGAGCAAAAGAAAAAAATCATAAAGAAGCAAGAGAGAAAGGTCAGATTATCTACCAGGGAAAATTAGTTAGAAGAGTGGCTGACCTATCTGAAGAAACACTACAAGATAGAGGAGACTGGAATCCAATATCCAAAGTCCTCAAAGATAAACAATTTCAAACAAGATCAATCACATCTTTGGCCATAAATCAAGCATAAATAAATTTCACAAGATCAAAATATTGCCATGCACCTTTTCACACCACAGTGGAATAAAAATAAATATCAACTCCAACAAAATTCCTCCAAACCCCACAAAGACATGGACACTAAACAGCATAATGTGGAACAACTACTGAGCCAACACTGAAATCAAAACAGAAATTAAAGATTCCTGGAAACACGCAAAGTCCGCGGGGCAGACCCGCGCATGCGCCGGGCGTCCCTGCGGCGCGGG